GGAGAGGTTTTTTTCTAAATCTGCAAGGCTTCGCCTACACAGGAGTACTTGGGAAGCGTAATCTGAATGAGAATTAGAAAAAAATAGTTCTTAATTACCATGATTCAAAGTGTTGCACACTCCTTTGTGGATAAGCATATCTGGAATAAGGGTAGGCTTGGCTTATGTGTAACTGTGTCCACTTTGGAATACTAAAATAAATTTAATCTTAGTTATTGTTTTAAAGGAGAATGGCTGTGCAGGGACTAACCAGGACAAACATGGCTCTTTCCTAGATAGACAGTCCCCATTTTTAAATGTCATCTCAGAATTCAGGGAAGACACTGAAGTCATTGGAAACAGAGATGCCATCTCCATAATTTGCTGGCCACAAAGGGAACATTTCAACAAGGTGCTAAGCAACTTTTTTTTTTTTTTAATGTGCTACATTCTTTTTATCACCTGTGTGTGTTGAGGGCCATGGATGGTAAGTATCTATACAAAAAGGCTGAGAGAATTAGGGTTGTTCAGTCTGGAGAGAAGAAGGATTGGGGTGACCTCATTGTGGCCTTGCAGTGCCTGAAGGGAGCCCACAGGAAAGATGGAGAGAGACTCTTGACAAGGGCCTGGAGTGACAGGACAAGGGGGAATGGCTTCACAGTGACACAGAACAGGGTTAGATTGGATATTGGGAAGAAATTCTTCCGTGTGAAGGTGGTGAGGTGCTGGCACAGGTTTCCCAGAGAAGCTGTGGCTGCCCCATCCCTGACAGTGTCCAAGGCCAGGCTGGATGGGACTCTGAACAACCTGGGCTAGTGGAAGGTGTCCCTGCCTGTGGCAGGGGGTGGGAATGAGATGAGTTTTAAGGTTCCTTCCAACCCAAGCCATTCTGTGATTCTATGGCTGGAATTTGGACCAGAGAGATGCCCACTCCACCCTTACCTGATTCAGATTGTGTTTGGACTCTGGAGGCCTGTTCTGTTGTAGAATTGAACGGATGTTTTGCAACTGGCTTCAGTAGACAGAGGAAGAAATAGCACTGCTGCTGGTTTTGGTAAACCTTCCCAGTGCTGGTTGGATGGAACAGGGGTTAGTCTGAGCCCTGTTTCGAACTGGTGGCAAAAATCACTTTGGAAAAGGATCAGGATGAAGCAATTATTCCTCACTGTCAGCTTCTGACTAAACTATGAATCCATCTGTTTCTGTGGTCTCTTATATGAGGCTGGGTATCAGTGTCAGTCCATAATGCTTAAACTGGGAAAGCATTATGGGAAAAATAGAGCTGGAGAAGGTGGGAACAATTCTAGGCAAATGGGACTTTTGGACTTTCCTTAAGAAAACTTATCTAGGGGGTTGCAAGTGCTGAACTGATGTGTAAAGACCCTGTGTAGCATCATGGGATGCCAGATTAGTGCTTACTATTTGAAAAGATAGTGGAAATAACAATCTATTCCATGTTTTAATTTTCTGTAGTTATTAATCTGTATATTCCCTTTAGTGTCCTGGCCCTTTGGAATCCAGTGAGGTTTTGGCTTCTCTGATTACCCATGTTGCTGAGTTCCATAGCCTAATTACATCTTTTGTTAAAAAGTAATTCCTTTTCCTGCTTTTATATTTTCTGCTGTGGATCATTCACATATCTCCTGTAAGGCTTTTTAGTCAGTTTTAAGCTCCAACACCTAAAACTGGATCCTAAAATGGGCTGATCCACAGATTACTATAAAGGTGATATTTTCACTTTCACTCTCTTTTTCTCATGCACCCTGTCACCTTTACAGCTTTGACCACACCCTGTGTCATGAATTCAAGCCCCCACTTAACAGGTTGTGAAACTTTTTACGGGTGGTCTCTCACAGGTAGAATTTAGAGCACTGACTCTAAATTCTAAGTGGTGGCAGCCAGGTCTCTTGAATATTCACTGTTGGTTAAGTTTTAGCCTGATTCAGATTTAAATTTGGGCTGGCTTCTTTTCACCCAGCGTCACTATAAATACCCAGAACATGTTTTTTCAGAACACAGACAGAAGTTTAGATCTCTGTGATACACGTGAGGATTTTTTTCTTACACATTTTGCAGCAATTTTTTCTGGCATTTTGCTGTCTGCTGACCCACCTTTTTCCTCTTTCTCTGAAGAATCTCAACATTCCTTTTGTCCCAGCTACTGTAAATTAATTGAGAATTTGCAGGCTACTCTGTCTCATTTCTATCTTTCCAAAGAAAATTTAAATATTCAGTGGAACACAAGCACCAGGGAGCCTTGTCTGGTCTTCTCCCATGATTACACCGGGTGTGTCACTCACTGAGAGGGGACATTCAGCCTTTCTTTAAGCAGGTATAACCTTCACAGGAACAAATCCATTCCAGTACCTGAAGAGACAAAGATGGAGAGGAATTTTTTATAAATGTGTTGACAGGACAAGAGGCAATAGCTTCACACTGACACAGAGTAGGTTTAGATTTGATATCAGGAAGAAATTCTTCCCTGTCAGGGTGATGAGGCCCTGGCACAGTAGCCCAGAGGAGCTACTCCCAAGCCCACTTCTGAAACACCTTATACTCCTTTTCAGTTTGTCAGTGGCCTGTTCTTCGTACAACCACCAGAGTCATTAACAGGACTGTCTCACCAAGCTGCCCTGTTAGCTCTGCCAGCCTCCATGAGTCACAGCAATACCTCCCACAAGCTCTAGCAACACCTGTGGAAGTCACACTGTCAGACTCAACACTGCCTTGTGCCAGCCCGCATTTGCCTTTGTCACAGGCAAACCTGACCTGATACTGCATTTTGTGAGGGGAGTTGCTATTGTTTCAGTAAAGCCTGTGTTTTTCTGATGGGAAGCTGCTCCTGGTCTACATTCCCAATTCAGGGAGAAAAAAATCTGTGCTCACAGAGCCTGTGTAGGAACAGGAACACAGGAAAGGCAATGCCACAGACAGATTGCTCTAATACTGCTGAACATACCAAGGCTGGTCTGCTGGTCTAATTAAATTGGAGGTGAAAGAGTTAATCTAGGCCTTGCCATGGCAGCCAAAGGGTGCACTTCAGGTAATTGCCAGTGTCTGACTTAGAAACAGTAAGTCACAGTCCTGATGCAGTGGAAGACGCTTGGTGTGGTGCCACTGACTTCACAGGGGTCAGAACTGAGCTCAGGGCTCACTTTAGACATTTTGCACAACATGGTTCAAGAAATGATACTGATCTCTGCCATGATTTTAAAACTGAATCCAGCCACCACAGAACCAGGCAGTTTCTTAGGAAAGTTTGTTAGGCTTCTCAGTATTGGCACTGGATTTCAGATGTATATTCGCTTAATTACTCTTTTGATAAAACCCCTTATTAAGCAAGTCTCTTCTCCATCTGGTGCTGATCTGACTTAAAATACAGCAAGATTGGCAACTCATTAATTCATGGACAGGATAAGTGTAAAATTTGCATAAATCAGTTAATACTAGAAAGTACAAAACTTGTAGTTTCTTGAAAAAGCAAACTGTGAACCTTTCCTCTTAGGACAGAAACTCTTTGTGAGATGGAGAAATATCTCACACATTTCTCGTGATGAAATATTGAGTAGTGATGTTTGGTTTTTCAGATTCCTTTCCCATTAATTCTTGTTCCAAATATAGAACTAGTCTTGAAAATGGTGACACTTCATGTTCAAGACAAAATTCCTGCTCTTTAATTATGTGGTTTTATTTTTAAAGCTTTAATCTTACATCAATAATTTTAAGTGCTTCTCAGTGATGCTCTGAGCAAGGAACTACCATCCTTCTTGGTTGTTTTCAGTGCTAGATGACATTTTTATCCAACAGTAGGCATCCATTTGCCATGAAGATTAAGTTCCAGGAATGCAATGTACAGTTGTGAGGCAATTTTGATCACTGCTCTCTGGAAATTATAGTGATTATATACATTCTAATATTTAGTTTTAACTCTGGATTACAATTCCTTCTTCTGAATCACTAGAAGGAAATCACACTAGTTTGCTGGGGGTTTTTTTATGGAATATTAAAAATCTTGTTTAAAATAACCACCCTGCTCCAGCTTGTGGGAGCTGCCAGTCACTGTCTGTGAGAGGTGGCAAAGTGCTCATGATTGAGAAAACCTTTGCAAGAGAACCCTGGATTGAATCAGGAATGTTTCCACAAAAAATGTATCTTGCAATAACATCCTCCAGAAAAGGAGCAAGAAAAGGACTTTGTGGAGAAAGTCTCCTGCTTTGCTCTACCCCGTGTTCAGGCTGACAAAAGTGTCCCTGCATCTTCTTTTCCTCGTGTTTGGAGAAGAGTGGGAGCAAGTGCAGAGACCAGCTCCGTGTGAATGGAAAGCTGCTCTTTGCAAGTTATTTCACTGTTCTAAGTGATTGCTTTCACAGAATCCTTAGGGCTGGAAAGGACCTCTGGAGCTCATCCAGACCAACCCCCTGCCCAGGCAGGGTCACCCAGAGCAGGAGACACAGGAACACATCCAGGCAGGTTTGGAATGTCTCCAGAGGGGGAACTCCAGGCTCTCCCTGGGCAGCTGTTCCAGGGCTCTGCCACCCTCAGTAGAAAGAAATTCTTCCTCATGCTGAGGTGGAACTTCTTGTGTTTAGTTTATGGCCATTGATCCTCGTCCTGTCACTGAGCACCACTGAAGAGAGCCTGGCACCAATCCTCTTGATACCCTCTTTGAGATATTCATATGTTCTTTCTTGACCTTTTGTGCACCTCAGGTGATAAGACAGAGCTAAGAAGCAAGATATAGAAAGGGTTCCTCTGGACTCATAGAGTCTGCTTAGAACAGCAGCAGACAAAGATAGGTCCAGGAGATTGCAGCTCAGGAAAAAGCTCACTCTAAAGGACTGCTGACAGGTGTCTGACAGCAAAAACTTGTTTAACTCGGTAGTACCAAGGAGCCTCTCTGTTAAACAGAAAGCTCATAGCAGGACACTGCTGCATTAACAAGATTTTCTCTGGCTGCTCCAATTCCCTTTAGCTTTTTTAATTTTTTTTTTTTCTTTTGGTAATCCTCTTTCAAACTGCAGCAGCATTTGTTGTCCTGAGGTGCTGACTCCAGTGGAAGAGATTTTAGTGGAAGCTTCTCCTGCAGTGTGCACAAGCTTCATTTCAGGTCAGTAATCACATCCTCAGCCTCTCCTGGGGCTCTCACATTGATCATCTTCCAGCTGGAGGAATTGTCTGAGAGGAAGGGCACGACTGTTGTGTTAAGGTCACATTTCTAGACTGAGGGTGGAGTGAGGGAAGCTTCTGCCCTTTGGATTCGGGGGAGACCTGACATTTGGATGTGGTGTGAATGCCATCAGCCATCAGATGGCAGGAGGCCATCAGCCTTTCAGCTCCATCATGCACATCTGCCCCTCTCCAGGCAGCCAGTTATGTCAAGAAGGAACAAGAGGAGAGGGCAGAGCATGTGATGGGTGACTTGAGCTGGTGTTTGGGTTCTGAGCAACAAAGCCTCTGCTGGATGAGGCTGTTTCACCAACAAAAGGCTTATTGACTGTTCTGAGTCATCATCAGCAGTCCCTGTGAAGGACTTGAGTTGATGTGACAGAGTAGGAAGTTTGCCCTAGGACAAATCTGGAGAACAAAACATCCACAGAAATGAAACATGCTTTATGTTTCCGGTGTTACCTGAAGAACCAGATGGGAGCAAAAAGAAAAAGCAGGAGGTCAGGGGATCTAAAAGCTTGTGAGAAGGAGCTATTTGATGTCCTTTGCTAAATTCTCCTGTGAAAGCTGGAATAACGCAGTGGATCGCAAAGTGATCCTTCTGCTAAACTGACTCTAGAACCAAGCTGACTCCTACCTACCTTCTCAGAAAAAAGGGCATTACTTTGGCTATATACACTCTGAGGTCCTGGAGATCCCAGTGTTTCATTACCTGTATGGAGGGGAATTTTGCTACTGAGTGGAATTCTCATACCCAAGTTAGGATTTTATTCCCCTTTCCCCAGATAAATGTTCAGATTTTTTGGCAACATATAAATATTCTTTGATACCTTTCAATGAAGTTCATTTTTGAAAGTGGCAGGGCAAAAGAGGAGGAAACATCTAGAGTGAGATTTATCTGCTATTTTCTGTTATGAATTTTTTTCTTTTTGAAGGGTGATATGGTGTCCAGTTGCTGCTTGAAGTACTCCCTCTAGCCTAGAGAATATTTGCTTGCTCATATAGAGTGAACCTTCTGTGCTCTTGGCTTCTGACTGGTTAGGAAATGCCCTCAGGAAGATGGAGATGAAAGTTCAGATACAGAGAAAGGAGGGAATTGTGATTCTTGAGCAGGGATTGTTACCACTCAGAGAGGAGGTAAGAGAAAATGCTTCCTCTGATCAGCCTCATTTCTGGGAGGAGGTAGAATTTAGGTTCCTAACTAGAAAACTCCATGTTACTTCTGATTTTAAGAGAAGCCAGAGTCCAGGCACTTGGGGAACTGAATCCTCTGGGAAGTGTGAGTGCAGGATTCTACAGCAGCAGACTGCACTGGGGTTTAGATGTTCTGCATTTTGGATCACAGTAGACATATGTACAATTAGTAAGGATTTCAACATCTAATTCCTCCTGTGACCTGGCCTTCCTTTCCCACATCAGGGAACTGTGGTTTGGCCTTAGGAAGCACCCACCCTGGATGGTCAGCCTAGTGTGGCATAGAGGACCACATCCCTGAGGTGATAACCAGGAAATGTGTAAGAAGCAGCTCTTTTTTCACAAAAGCCCTTTCTCACCTCACAGGTTGAGCCCTGTACTTTTACTAAAGGCTGGGACTTGCATCCAGATGTGTCACTAAAGCTGTAAAAACAAGGAAGAACTGTAACCCTGACAAGTGCTGAATACAGTTTGCTAAGGAGGCTGCAGCAGCCAGAGCAGGTATGTGATAAACCTGTAAATTCTGTTGCCTCTCTGTGTTTTCCAGAGCAACCTGGAGCTCAAGCAGGAGAGGTGCTCTTCAGATGGCTCTCCACATTGTCTTCCCTAACACACCAGTGAGGCACGAGACCAGGGCAGAAATTCCAGTGTGGGGAGGGTGTGAGTCATGAGATGGTGAGTGAAGGAAACAGCAGGATAAAAATAACAGAGCCCAGTGTGATGCAGAATATTAATCTCTTGCCCTGTGTTATCCTTGCTTGTATTACAGGCACCACTCTGCTGTAGTGTAGATGCTCTGCTGCTCAAAACAGATCCCTCCCTGCTGCTCGCAAAGATTATAGCTCAGGATGCCAGATTGCAGGGACTCCTAATACTCATGCCTTTAAGTTGGCTGAAATTCTTAATCAAGAAATTCCTGCCGTAGAAAATATGTAATCAAAGAGCGTCAAAATGTTACATTTGTATTTTTCAGGTTTACATGAAAACGTCAATTTAAGTTAAATTGACTTTAGCTGAAAAAAATTATTTCTTCAAACTCTAAATGAGTAAAGTCCCTTTCATTTTCCAACCTTCTTTTTTTTTCCTCTCATTCTTTCTTCCTTCAAAAGGAGAAAATATAGGAGAAGAGTGTGAAAATACTATGAAAAACCCCCACAAAATTCAAGTTTGGTTCTAGCTAACATAAATTACTAGGAAAAAAAAATAGGAAAAGTGGAATTGGTAAAATAAAATTTAAAAAAGAGGTGCCAAATATTTTCTTTTGAGATGTGAATCTCTCTACTGAAATCTGCCATCAGATTTGCTGAGCTTCATTCTGAGATCACTCACAACAAAATCAGGATTCCTTCTAAGGAGCACTTTCATGTCAGCCAGTGTGAAGTTTCTAAACCAGTCCCCTTAACATCTGCTCTAACCACTGGGCAGTGATCTTCAGAGAGCTCTTGGGAACTTAGGAAGCCTCTTACTCTGGTATCTTTCAATACAGTCAGGAATCTGGGCACAATAAAGACAGCAGGAGCTTTTCCTTTAACTTGAAAAGGTGCCAGCTCTGGCACTGAGGCTTGACTGCAGATTAACACATGGGGAGCTCTTCTGACAGAAACTGCCTTTAGTATTTCGGAGTGGGGAGAACTGTTTATTTCATTTCACACAGGTTCAGTTCAAAACCTTGCCAAAGGATTTCACTTGGCTGTTTGGTTTTTTTTGTGTTTGTTTTGTTTTTGTTTTTTGGTTTTTTTTTTTGGTGGTGTTTTTTGGTTTTTGGGTTTTTTTTCATGTAAGTCACCTTGGGCTTAAGTTCACCTTCAAGACTTTCGGTAAAACTTTACCAAAACTGGGAACAGCCTTCTGAGACTGGCAGGGAAGTGGCTGTGTGGTCCCCATGCTGCAGGACTTACAGGGTGAAGGACTGGTATTTGTAGAGCTCTCTCTCCTCTTTGCCCTTTCAGGGCTGCTTTATGAAGCGGAGCATTTGCACACATGCTGAAAGAAGGCACCATTCAATTGTGATGGATTTAAGGGGTGTATGTGTATGTGTGTGTGTAATGTGGTTCAGGTGTGCAGTTATGGTCAGAGTACTCCGTGCTCCCTTTCAGACCCTGTTGAAACCAACTTCTTTCATTCCACTAAGCTGAAAAATCCCGTTTTTTCTGCTTATTTCTTTTCTATTTTGTCTTACAGAAGCTGTCTGGGAAGCTACTTTTCTAGGAATAACTTTTCTAGTTTTAAATACTCTTCTTAAGCAATCTCCTGTTATTTTTTACTTTCATATTTCCATCTATTTAACTTATTCCTGTATACCAAGTCTTCTTTATTTTCCAATGCGTAAAGAAAGGAAGACTTATTTTGGAAGTTCTACAAAAATGGAAGTCATTGTAATCATGATTTGATGTCCTTGGAACACACTTTATTTACTATTTGTTTTTACTAGGACATTGTTTGAACATAACTTTAAGCCCAATAAGGTTCCATGACTAATCTCCTGGGAGAAGATATTTATGGTCCATATTTTCAGAGAGGGAGATTGGAAGTAGAAAAAGGCTTAAGTATTTAGGCCTCACTTCAGCTCTGAAGGCGGGGGAAATCTGCAAATAGTCACTTGACCAGTTGAAGTAGAGGGTGGCATGTGCAGATGCCCAGTTCCAAGGGGCACTTGCATTCTATGTGTGCTCATTCCAAGCAGAAACATGGGCTTCAGATTGTGTGCATTACTGCAGGGGAACTGACCTATTTTTCTAGAGAGGAAAAATCTACCATAAAAATCCAATTTGCAAGGATTGTGGGAGTGGAAACAGGGCTGGCTTTTTTTCTCTAGGATATTTGGTTATGCAAACAAATTGATGAGGGAGAAACTTTCAGCAGGAAAACTGCTGATGGTGCTCAGTGTCATTCAATTAATTGTAACATGCTTGAAATGAAAGTGAAATAATGGTGCACCTTTCAGAGAATCAGAGAATCACACAATGGCCTGGGCTGGAAGGGACCTTAAAGATCCTCTGGTTCCAACCCCCTGTCATGGGAAAGGGCACCTTCCACTTTGTTCCAAGCCATAATTTTGTGTCCGCTGTGGATCCTAATGGTTTTTCTTCCTTAATTACTGCAGCTTTTTGCATGACACTCTCCTGATTACCTTCCTCCTGCAGACACTGACCATTAGGAAGACACTGCTGCAGAGTCTGAAACCAAACCAGCCTGTTCCTTGTTCTCAAGTCATCTTGGGTTGGAAGCTGCTGAAAACTTCCTTCTGGATAAATAACTGTGACGTCCCCATCATGCCCAGAATTGGATTTCTTCACTGGGATTACTGAAACACTGGTCTGCTCCGAGGCTTCTCTCATAGAGGAATTGTTCAGCTCCACAACAGGAGTGAGAAAAGTTTAAATGCTTTGGGGCTCACTCCCAGGCACAAGACTTTATTATCTGAGCTTTTGTTTGGAAATAAATTGAGTTCTTGTCATAGATTTGGCATCTTCTCCCGTGGTTCTTACATATCAAATTTTCTCATCATTCTGGAAGAAGATTCAAGTGTTTGTTCTCTTTCTTTTATTGGCACTCATCTTTATTTATTTTGTATTCTTGAGATGTGCTGCATCTCTGGAGTTTGTATTTCTACTTTTAGTGAAAAATGCTGTACATAAAAGTCTAGAATGCATCTGAAGTTTAGTCTAATTTTTCATGTGACTTTGACTTGAACATTTTTCTGTTTATGTTTATATTTCTATTTCAAATATGTGCATTACCTGTATTCTTTAAGCCTTTTCCCCATCTATAACTCAATAAAATAATGTCCACGTTCTTCAGAACCATATTGTGTGTTCCTGACAGTGATAACAGTTTCTGAATAATAATGATTGATAATTTTAAATGTGTTCATCTATATTTATATCTATTTCTATAACTATATCTGTATCTATATCTGTCTGTCACAACCTGAAATTCTTCTGATGTGGGATTTGAGGTGGTGGAAAAATTACCAGTGAGTGGGAGTTCAGCTCAGAAACAATTCCTCATAAGTCTGTTTGGACTTGAAAGGTAGATTTTCCTGCTCCATAAAGGTTTATGTTCTTTATTTCAGTTCTCATCCATGGCTTAATTTACAACTGCTATTGCATGAATCAGTGGAGTGTCACCCATTTCCCTAGAAGTTTGTGTGAGACCAGTACTTCCCTGTGCAGCTCTTGGAACTGGATACTGTAGGACCTGGCCCTGCCTTGTGAGAGTCCTTTAGGCAGATTCTCAGCTGGCATGAACCAGCCTAATTTCCTTGACATTAGTGGAACTCTTCTGGTTTGTGCTCACTGAACACCTCAGAGTTTATCTGCATTTAAATGAAACTTGTTTCTGTGAATCACAGGCTTTTTAAAGGAATTTGGTTGGTATTTTTTTAACTCCCTCTACTAAGGAAAAGAGTACCATGACCTAGGAGATCTGAGGGCTGATGCAAGCCTTAGGCCTTTAACTGGAGGACTTAATCCTTGTCACGTGGATCTCCCCATTCCTTCTAACTCCCTTGAGTTTCTTTTGCTGGATAGATCCAGTGAGGTGCTCAGTTCTGTGCTGAGGCATAGTCCTGACTGACATGAACGGATGCACAAATGGATGCAGGACTGAGGCTTTAATGAGGATATTTCTGAGTCTTTGGGAACAGGCTTTGATCTTAGGGTGAACTTATCAAAATTCTGAGCACTCTGAGCATGCATGGACATTCAAGTCCCTCAGAGCAAGGGCATGAAACCATTCAATGTCTCTCTTGCTTTGGGGAGACTCAGCTTTTTTTGGCTTTTTCTTTGGAAAAGACATTCACTGCCAGGAGAAACTCGAGGCCATTGTACAATGCTGGCTTTTTACTGCTGTAATATTCCTTTGGGTCTCAAAGGTTTAGTGAAGTCAGTGGGAAATTTTCTATCACATGCAGTGTGTTGGGAACATGTCCTTGCTGCAAGTAAGACTCCATCAAATATAGCTGTTTACAAAGCAAAGAGAGAAGGGCATTTCTCATCCTTTTCTGTTTAATGCTGTATGCCAAGCCTCTGTTTAGGATTTTAAATCATACAAATTGCAAAATGTCCCATTTAAATATAATGAATGCTGAACCAAGTCAAGCTGTGGGCTATTTACCACAGGGAATGGGCAATAGGATCTCCAGGGAATAGAAGCCTGAGGGTTGTGAGTGGTGACAGGTGACTTGTCTGACTTACCTACACCTCCATCACTGAACTGAGTGGAGCTCTATTTTGTTATGTACCCCAAAATGAGAGCTCCTGATTCCTCTTACATCTTGGAGGCATAGTGTACACATCTAGACATCTCCAATTAGAAACAAGGTATGTTCTTGCAAACAGCTGGGGCTGGCTTATAACTAGGGTTTCTATAAATAGGACACCTTCTTTCATTTAGGTGAGCTACTGCTGCTGTTTTGCCAAAAGCATGTTCATTAATTTCTTTCCAGCTTCTCCTTGTCATTGTTAGAGCATAGGAAGCAAGTTCATGGTTTAACAAGCTTGAGTTTCAGACTAGGCTAATCAAATAATTTTGATTCTATTTATCAGCTTTTAATTTGCAATTAAAGGTTAAATTTAGATGAAAAAATCTTCAAACTGAAAAGGGAATTTTGCTTAGAAGTTGAGTACCCTGAACCAGCACCTAGCTCTGTGCTTGAACTTTGTGCCTGTAGTTACAGGAAAAAACATCCAAGATAGTCAGGAAACACAACAGAAGCCTCCTAATGAACTAAGAAGAGTGATGAACTGAATTCCATTGATGTGAAGGTGTTGCAAAGACCTGTCTAGGACAGGATTCTTATTCCCTGGATCCAGTCCCATACTCTTGTAAGCGTGTTTGCAGCAAGGGAAACTTGCAGAGCACGTGCCTGCCATCAGCCTGATTCGGCTGCCAACACTGCCAAACGCCGAGTTCATTCATTATTATTGCTGGGTTTTCAGGAGGCAAGATGAGCAAAATCAACATCAGTCTCCAACAGATGGGACTAGAGGAGGGCAGCTGCAGGCATACGCTGCACTACATACAGCAGGCGAGCGCACGTGGAATCCTCTGCCCCCAGAGCTCCGGCGTTTCCATTACACGGGCAGCAGGAAAATACAATTATCCCAATTAACTGCCTGCAAAGCCCTGCCTTTCTGCTGCCCACTCGGGAATTCAGGCAGGACCCAAGGAACTCTGAGCACAGAGGTGCCATTACTCACGTGGCAGCGGTGGAAAAGCACATTCCTGTCTACGTGAGATGAGCAGGGGCATTCCTGAGAGCCTCCTGCAGTTTCTTTTATGTTCTTGGTAGCTCGTTCTATTTTTTTTTTTTACTTTTCAGGCTGCAAATGAGATTACATCACAGGCATGCAGAAAAGAAAATGCAGTGGAAATATGTGTAAACAAGATTACTAGGGCAAAACAATGCCTCTCAGCACATTAACTGCCCTGGGGGATGTGAAGCTGGGGCAGGGCTGGGAGCAGTTTTTGCCTGGGTACAGCAGATGAAGGCAGGAAATATTAATGATATGCTCTGAAAGAGCTGCTCAGCCTGCTCAGAGTGCAGAAAAACAGAAGGTGTGAAAGAGTTCAATTTTTTTTAGGTATTCATATTCTTTCCCCCCAAAACACTGTATTGAAATCCTGTTGGATTTTAACAACTTCCAAAGGGCCTCAGCTGTCATTTTGCTGTCTCTCATGCATAGACCCATATACACTTGGCTCTGTGGGACATAAAGGTAGGACGTGAGAGCTGTCTTAAAATGAGAAATCTGATAATGACCAAAAATGTTTTATTTGTGATAGAGAGGGGATACTTTTGGTTGGATTCTTTGCTGTTGGTTTAAAATGCTTCAGGTTGTTGATACAATCCCTGTCTGCCCAGTCTGAGTCAAGAGCTGTGAACTCTTACCTTAGAGCTGAGAGTTCTACATGAGGAAGGGGCCACAGGAGAAATAAAATTAGCTCATGTTTTGAAAAAAAAACCCCAATATAACCACGTTACAACAAATCCTCCACCTTTCTGCGTGCTGGCAGAATCTCTGCTCCCTCCCACGCAGCCCCAGCTGGAGAGCCTTTACTTGCAGCAAAGCCACTCTGGTTGTGACAGTCCCTTTCCAGTCACTGCTCCCTTTTCATTCCCTCCCAGGGAGCAGCAGCTGCCACCACAGCCCCTCTTTTCTGCCTCCAAGGGCTCCCCACTTATGTAATTTGCAGAAGGCAAAGGAAGAAAATATTGAATTGATGCTAGACAGGGTCAGAGTGATCATCCTAGCAGCAGAGATTAGCAGGTCCAGTGCTGCAGTGAGCATCCTACTCCAATTTCAGGTGGAGTAAGTCTTTCACCCAGGCCCTGAACCTACCACACCCACCAAGCCAGGGCAGAGAAGCTCTGTGCTTGTGTGCTTCTGAGTTTAAAAGTGCCTTTCAGGCCTGAGTTGAACCTGGTGTTTGGGGCCAAGCTTTGTTAATGCGTTGGGGGGAATGTGGCTGCCTGGGAGCCTTTTTGCATGTGTCTGGCCAAAATCTGGTCTCTTTGGCAGCGCCAGGATCGGTGCTGCTGCTGAGGGGCCATCTAGGGAGTGTCCCCTTACTCCCCTCTCTGTCAACCAGGAGAAGGATGGAATAAATACCTTGAGCAACCTGGTCTGGTGAAAGGTGTCACTGCTCAGGTCAGGGGGTTGGAATGAGGTGGTCTTTAAGGTCCCTTCCAACCCAAACTGGTCTGTGATTCTGTGACCTTATTGAACCATGCTGAGTGCTGGCTGAGTCAAGGGCCCTTAGTTTCTGTCCTTAAAGAGCAGAGCTCAAAGCAGCTTCTGGAAACGATGGGGTAGAAGGCACTAATTAATTTTCCTCTGCTCACTCTGGGGTCTGCCCCATTCCTGCCCATCGGTGGGGTGGATGCCAGTGTGGAAGCTGGGAACAGATGTGTGGTCCAGTTGCTAATGAGGTGTGGGTGATTGCTTCTCTTCTTGCTTAGGGAACACCTTCTCACACCTTCTCCTTTCTCTGCCACAGGCCATCCTCCAGGACATCTGAACAGGGATTCTAAGGATCCAGTAAGGGGAAGTGTCAGAGAGTGAAGAAAGAGAGGAGCAGCCTTTGGGGACTGAAGGGGTGGCAGCAGCCTCAGTGCAGTTTGTGTGTTGGCTAAGGACTATTTTATAAATGGAGCACAGCTATCATCCCTCAGCTGCAAGGAGGTTACAAACATATGTGGAGGATAACCAATCATTTGGATTGGCTTAAACAGGACAACTCGCTGCAACAGTGTGGAGCCAAGATATCCATGTAAGCACCTCAGCAGAGAGTCACAAACAAAACTGAGGGGAAAAGAAAATCCCATCTATCAGTGCAGAATTTGCACAAAACCACCTGATTGCTAGAATTCCATATCCTGGTATTCCATGAGGTATTTTCTGTGAGGAATATGAGCAAGAGCTGATGGGAAAAAGAAAGGGACAGGCAACAGTTAATGATACATTTTAAAACCGGCCATCCAGACTAGCGCAGCTGAGAAAATGTGACAGCTGAAACCCCGACTTCCCTGGCTCTGTCCATATGAATTGCTGGTAAAACTTCCCTTCCCCTAAGATGAACACTTAACAACTCCATGGTGAGCTTTGCTATTCTCTGTGTTTGCATTCCTATGAATCAGAATAAAAATTTCTCCTCACTACTTATTTTATTCACAATATAAGAAGGTTCTAAGAATAAAATCTAGCCACGTATCTCCTGACCCACTCTCAAAAAAAATGAAACTCAGGTCTAGAGGGATCTTTACATGTGGTTGTGTGGTGAAAAAATGTTCTTTATT